GGGGGCGGGCCCTCCGCCAGCCGCTCCAGGTGGCGCCACTCGGCATCGCAGGCGGACTCGTCCTCAAAACGCACGTGCGACGGTGAAAGGCCACGCCTGGGCCACTGCCCGCTGCTGGACTCCCCGCTGGAGGAGTCACTCATGGGCTCGTTCTGGAGGCCATCTCTGCCGACAGAGGGCATCCTGGGGCCCTGGGCTGGGCTACTCCGGACATCGCTGATGAAGACAGGAGGGGGTCACCGTCAGAAGGATGGGAGAAAGTGCAGACCTTGCCCTCGCTCCCACCATGCCCGGAGGAATCAGAGCCCACAGGAGTGCCCAGACCAGCTTCCAGCGGAGTCAGGTGCAAACCAGAGTCGCTCGCAAGCCCACCTGATCTTGACGCCTGGCGCTGCACACAATCCGCACCACCTCTACTCTGGGCTCCCCTCTGCCTGGCTCAGGCGGAGTTAAGATGAAACGTTACTGAACTCAGGGCTGCGTGAAGCCTGAGCGCCATGCGTCTCCGGCGATGGACTGTGGAACTATGCATTTGCTACGAAGCTCCTCTGGGAAGAGGGTGTTCGACTCCACAGAGGCTGGGCGAGGCTAAAAGCCAGGATTCCAAAGCATGTTTGCTCCTGAAGTTTCCACTCAGGGTTCCTAATCACCTTGCTCGGAAAAATTCAGACAATGCCTCAGCACTGCTTCTCCCTTGGGAGGCTGGGTCTTGGCGGCTGACACCTGCTCCTCACACCATCCCCCAGGCCCTCACATGCCTCTCGTCCTGCTGCTACAGAGAGGGTGCTGCTGTGCTAGAAAACTCTTCACATCCACCATCGACCCAGCTCCGGGAGGTCTGACAACTGTTGGGCAGGTCCTGCTGGGTTCCAGAAACAGCCCCACAAACCTCACACCAGGGCCCCCTGGACAAGAGTTTCAGGCCGCTCTGCATGGGCCCGGGCCCGGCAGGGCCCACCTGAGTAGACCGCAGACCATACTTCCTCCTCATTCTCCCTGCAGCGGCCTCCCCCAGGGACTGCTAAGTATAGGCCTCATCTCATTCCTCTCCTTCATGGCTTCCGTATCACTCACAGGGACCCTGCAGTGACCTCTTACCTGGCCTCTCCACCTGCCTCCTGGAGCACAGCTTTCATCACACCCCCTCACACCCCCGTGGAAGGGTGCAGATCAAGTTCGTAGCCTTTGGGGTGAAAATGCAGGCTCCATACTCCTCCCCAGTCTCCTCTCCAACTCTGCCCCCAACCACCCTCGTGGAGGGCTACATCCACCTCAGGTAGTCCGGATGCTTTCTTAGCCTGCCTGCTTTAGAATCCTATTTACTGAGTCGTAACTGTTGTATAGACACCATGATGGTTAATTTTATGTGTTGACTTGATGGGGCCATGGTGCCCAGTTGTGAAGGGTCTTCGACAAACACACAGGAAATGCATATGAAGGAAAACCACGCCTGGAGTTCAAGAGTGTTCCGTACCCAAATAAACTTGTACTTTCATTCCCTTTTTCCACAGACTTCTTGAAGTCTCCTCATACTTAGTCAGACATTAATCTGGAAGCTTCTGTGAAGGTCTATCTTTGTTTTATTTTGCCTTAGGGCAGGTATGCTTGCCGGAAGGAGACGGAGACAGTGAGAAGAAAAATGAGAAATCATCTCCAGAGAGAATGGCCACGCAGCAATCCCTTCTCCTCCATTCTCCTCCCAGGACATTGGGCACACACACACATGTGCCCAGCGTGAGTTTTAAGCCACTGGTTCCAGGACTCGAACTGTGGTCAGCCATGTGGGAGTCCAGTGGCATAACCACTACACCATCTGCTGGCCCCAAAGGGGCCACACTACCCCTTGCAATGTGGGTGGGCCTCACCCAGTCAGATGAAGGCCTTCCTAGCAATAAGTCTGACCCACCCGGAGCAAGAAGGAATTCTGCCAGCAGACTGCGTGTGGATCCAAACAGCAGCTCTAGCCTGGGTCTCCAGCCCATCGGCCTCCCCTGCAGATGCCGGACTCACCACGGCTCCACAGCCGTGCGAGCCGATTCCTTCCAACAGACCTGAACACACACATCCTGCTGGTGCTGTTCCTCTAGAGAACCCTGGCTAATAAACACACCGCGAGAATGTCTTCCTCCTCTGCACACCTGCGCTGTTCGTTGCCATCACAAAGGAGAAATGAAGGAGAGTTTAATCACGTCAAGCGTCTCCAACCCAATTATTCGCACCCACAGGCCCCCACCAGCACTGTTAGCAACCCAGTGTGAGCAGAGGATGAGGATTTCGGAGACAAGCGCAGACCAAATAAGGCAGTTATGCAAGGCAAACCCTCTGCCTGCCAGGCTCCTCGAGATGATGGCCAGCAGATGCCTCAGCCATCGTCCCTCCTGGAGAGAGTTCTACTCTGAGCTCAGAGCCTCTGCTGTGGGCCGGAAGTGGTATGCACCCCCCTCCACACACACACACACACACACACACACACACACACACACAACAGGGCATCCCTAACACCACTGATGTGATGCTGCATGCAAGCTGCAGTCTGCACACAACCACTCTCTGGCACAGGACAATCCTACTAAACAGGGTCACCCTCTCGAGCCTGCCTCTTGCCGCCGCGTTCTGTGCTCCTGGGACTAGCACGCCAACCTAGGTGTACCTTTTCCCCAAATGACCAGAGCTTGTATTTCCAGAAACTAACTGCTCAATGTCATCAATTTGCTTCCAGAAAATGCTACTGCCACCTCCCACCTCTTGGAAAGCCATGTCTGTTTGGGCTTGCCCTAGCCACGGCCGGCTAGATCCAGGATAAAGAACACCTTCCGGAGAAGGCCCTGCCTGCCCCAACTCGCCCATCCTCTTTCCCCACGCGGCTCCTGGGGAGGAGCCATGCCTCCGAGGCCCAAGCCTGTGCGCATCGCCCTGTCAGCGCAGCACGGCCCTCTGGGGTGATCTGACAGAGCGTAACCTTTGGAAGCATCTGCAGCAAGCCATCTGGTGTTGATTTTTCAGCTCTGCCCTCTGAGGATTCACCAGCGCTGCCAAGTCATAGTAATTCCTTTCTGGACACAGCAGCTGCTAAAGTGGGTCACCTTGCATTTCTGTAGCACTTCTAGGCCGAGAGACGGCCTGGCAGAAGGGGACCCACTTTAAAGGGAGTGCACAGAGTTGCTGGAAGCTGCTGTAGGGATTGAGGGGGAAGGAGTTGTCCAGGAGGCCACTGACACAGCCAAGTCTGCCTCCCAGATAGCCCTGACTATTTTACATCCTAAATACCTACAGAAAATGGAACAGGGGCGTTCGTGCTGGGAATGCTCAGGCTCCTCCCCATAGATATGTGGAGAAAAATAGCTTGATGCCTCGACGCCACCATGCCGTGTCTCTGTTCCCTCCCGCTGGAGGGACAGATAGGGGACGAAGTGCACAAGCAAAGGGGAGCCTGTTTGGCACCCCTTGCCAGGATCTAAGACCTTCTGTGCCCCTCTCCTAAAAGTCAGTGACGCAGAGCCTCTGCTGGTGACGGATGGCTCCGCGGATGTCCCCGGCCTTTAAGGCACAGTCTCAGCCTCTCCATCAAAGGGCATGTGCCCCAGCTGCACCAGGAATTCCACCGGCACGTCAGTTCAGAGGTGGTTCTGCTCGGGCCTGGAGAGATCGGGCCCGGTCTGGCGGCCTCATCTCGGGCCCAGGAGCGTGGCCCAGAGCCACTCTGCAGTGGGGTGGTTCTTGGAGGTGCAGTGTATCAAAACAGGCATGATGACGGGGTGGGGTAACAGACTCAGTGCCCACATTCCAGCTCTGCTTCTCCTTTTCTGAAGACCCCCCATCCAGCTGCCTGAGGGGGTCCCCTGTGGCTGTTCTGAGGGCACCTCTCTTTCCAACACCAGACACACACCTTGGCTCCACTGTTGGCCCCACCGAACACCCAGACACCAAGTTGGGGGCCTGGCCCTGCTCTGGGTGCCCCTCTTCCCCTAGCTCCCACATCAGGAATCGATCCATAAAGGCTAGAGCTGACTGTCCAGCTGCGGCTTTTTTCATAGCACACGTTGCCAGCAATCCTGAAGGCCAGCCCTGCCGCCATCCTCATTTTGCAGATGAGGAAAATGAGGACAGAGCCAGCATTCTCGGGGGTCTGGTTCCAGGCTGCACCCCTCTCTGCAGCCTTGTTAGGCCTGCCTGGCTCTGGTACCCCGGCATCTCTGTGAGCCTCCCTCTAGGACTATGGTGGCAGCCTCCTCGCTGCCCTCGTCTCCCAGATCCAACACATTCCTACAGCCGGAGCAGCGACACGGACTCACGTGCGGGCACAAGACCACCAACCCGAAGCCCTGCATGAATAGAGGCACGCGAGTCCCTCAGCTGGCCTTGCAGAGCCTGGGCCTCCATGCAGTGCCACCTGGCCCCTCCTTGTGCTCCCGCCTGGCTGGAGTCCTGAGATGGTACTTCCGCTCGTGGTCTCTGTCCCTAGAAAGCCCACCCCCGCCTCCCTGGCGGGAATCTACAGCTCCTTCAGGCCTCAACGTGGAAGCCGCCTCCATGCAGACCCCTTGTCCTTTCCAGAGGAGTCACGGATGTCCAGCCCTGCATGCACACCCCCTCCCACACCACACCCAGAGGTGTCCCCTGTCTTGCTCCCTGGAGACTGGGACCTCCCTCACAGGGAGCTCAAGTCACCTTTCCCTCATCTGCGTGTCTCCATGCCTGACAGGGAAGGTGCTGACCGACTAAATGGCCGAAGCAAGTGCCTGACGTGGAAAACGTGCGTCCCCACACACGGGAGGGAAGCGTGAGCAGTGGCATTTTTGCTCACTGCCACCTCTTCCTGCGGCTGACCCTTCCCCGCCTGGCTAGGCCTCACTCACCACCTGCCCTGGGTGATGGACGGCATGATGTCATGGCTGGCACGCAGGGGCCGGGTCCTGGCCTTCATGCGGGCACGCTGCAGCAGATGCTTGGCTTCTTCATGCCTGGGGCTCAGCACGGGCTCCGGCTTGGGACCAAAGGTCCTGTGGGTGGCACGCAGGCCAGGATGGGCGGGGAAGGATTAAGGAAATAACACGGATTAGGAGGGCTTCCACAGTGAGAGCGCCTGTTTGGCCAGGAGAGGCCCTGCGTGTGCAACTTCCTCCTGCAGCTCCACACAGAGGGGGCCCTGCCTGGCTGGACCTGGGGCCTGGGCAATAACCCTGAGCAGTTCTGCAGAGGCTGGGAAGCTGGCCTGGCCTTGGACATGTGCTCAGGACAGGAGGCAGAGACCCCAGGAGGATCTAGAAAAGGGTGGGGTGGTCTCCAGATTATTCTATTGTTCCTTTCCTGGGCAGACAGTGGGAGTGATCCGGGAGAGGGAGGGAGGGGCCTGGGGTTGTTGGGCTGGGCCTGTGCCCGGACAGATGGTCCTTCCACGCCTCACTTCGCGCCCCTTCTGTCTCTCCGCACCCACACAGACCCACTGAGCTCCCACCGCAGACCCGCGCAAACAGCCCTGCCCGCCATGGTTCTGGTTCGCTGGGGGAAGGACATTTTGATCAATCCTGGCGTGTTTTTTGGTCTTAGTCCCAATCCTAACCTGTCAGGCATCAGCTCAGGACTCAGCTCAGGACCGAGAGAAATTAAGCTGGACTCAAACCAAGGCAGCAAATGGCTCGATTTTCATAATAATAAGGGTCCTTGAGCAGCCCTCGCCACCCACCAGATGTGCCACCTCCCAGGCCAGTCCAGAGCTGTGGAAAATGACAGCAGCCCTTTTTCAAAGCTGTCTCCCAGCCAGTGACATACAGCCTGCACCGCCAGTTACAGCACTAACCACAGCCCCCAGCCTCCCGCTGACAAGACGTTCCTCCGCAGAGCCCACGCTCCCAGCCAGGCTGCGAGGACAGGTGTTTCCTCGCGTGACAGATGAGGGTGTCCGAGCGGAGGAACGCGGGTACATCGCTCAAGGTCGAGCATCACCGGAGAGCAGAGCAGACAGACGACAGCCAGCCCCGCTGCCTCCAGCATCGTTCCCGGGTCCTCCGTCCTGTCCCCCCTTGGGTCCCAAGGCTGGGGTCAGACTCCCTGAGTGTCCCCACGGCTGCCCTTGTCCTCACAGTCACACACTGGGCTGTCCCTGACCAGGAGGGTCCACAGAGAGAGAACGCCGGCTCAATGGGCCCGGCTGTCAGGCCTGCAGCCGACTGACCCTGCCCCACATGGCATGTAGAAAAAGGGGGTCTCGTCCTGGCACGAGTAAGGTCCCACTTTTCTGGATGACAGGGACAAGACTGAAAAACACAGCTCTGAGGCCTCCAGGGAGAAAGCTACTTGGGCATCCTCGGGCCTTGGATGAGCTCTGGGCAGACCGATTTTTCTCCTCTCATTATTTGCATCGAGCCTTGCTTTGCAGCCACGTTTGGGGGAGATAACTAGAAAAAAGGCACCATCTGTGCCGTGAGCCCTGGCAGGGCCCAGACACGGCTTTGGAACAGGAGGGCTTCGCTGGAGTGACGTGCACCCGAGTCTCCAGGCCTGCTGCCCCGTGCAGCCTTCTTTGGCAGGAGAGGCTCCCCCCCCAAAGTCAGCCTTCTTTTGCAGGAGAGGCTCCCTCCACAAGGCCTCCTGTGCAGGCAACTCCTCCAGCACGGCCGGGAGCAGCTGCGCTCCCCGGGGCTCCTGCTCCCAGAGATAATGAGGTTACCAGCCCAGAGAGGCGCCTCTGCAGCCGCGGGCCTCTGGCTGCGCTGCCGCACCCTTGGAGCGGCTCCACCCCCCCCCCCCCCCCGCCCCCCGGTTTTCCAAGCCGTTTTCCTGCTTCCTTTCTGCTCCCTGCACTCAGAGCTGTTAATACACTTTTTCATCAGCTGCCCTGCTTCAGTTTCTGGCAGACCAAGCTGGTTTCTGCACTGATTAGAAAAGCAGGGCTTTCTGGCACCTGGAGGCATCCATGCAGTAAGCAGGGAGGGGGCCCAGCCACCTTCACAGACCACGGCCAAGGTCGGCAGAGGGAACCCCAGCCAGCTCTGCAGGGGGATGTGGTCTTTCCCCAGGGCAGCACTGTAGGGTGCAGAGTGTCCCCATCTCACACCCACCTCCCACCCCACATCATGCTGGCCCACCCAGACAGGTTCAGACTCTTCAGTGTAACCTGATCCTGGTCACCAAAGGCCGAGTCCCCATCGTGGACCTTAATGCACAATCCTGGCTCTCCAGGTCCCCAGGAACTTCCCGGAAGGGGAGGGCAGTCTGGGCACAGCGGCAAAGGCCATTCCCACCTTAGGACAGGCAGCTCCTGCCCCT